TTTTTTAATGATTTTACATACAATTATGCCGAATCAAATTACAAATAATGTTTGCAAAATTAAAAAGCTTTTTCTTGAAAATTGACCAACATTTCTGTAATATTACAATGCGTGTTAGGTTTATACAAGAAGATTGTAAAATTACAATACATCTTAGTAGATTTCCTGACAGGGTGTTGGAAAATTACATGAATTGTATTTTATTTAGCATTGCTATACACTGATTTGTAATTTTACAAAAATTTTTAACAGTGTGTAAATAAATAAATTAGTTTGAATTTATTGAGTGGTCTGAAGCTCGCGCGCTACGCAATGTTGCCAAATGTTTTGATTCCATTTTAATGTAGGTTACTTGAGAATTTTTTGTGATTTTTAAATATTAATTTCTCAATCAATATCTCGGTAACTGATATATTTTATTGCAAGAAAAGAAACCTGAATATTTCGAAAATCTAATTTTTAGTTTTTTTTTTACTTCATCTAATCCATGACTGATAGTATAATTCGAGAAATACTGCAAACGTCTGACTTTCTCGTAAGACTCTGAACAAATACTAACATTTAAAAATTTTATTTTTTCAAAAATTTGTCCGGTAAAGTATAATTTAAACCTCACTATTAGATAAATAAGGACCTTAACTATTAGAAAACAATTGAATTTACTCATAATCTAATATTTTTTATTTTACATTGGCGGCGAAAGGACCTCCTTAAGTATGAACATTCGTGTTTCATTGACTCAAACAACGAATGGATTAAGATTTTGCTTTCGATTTACAGCCGGGTGCGTTAAGTATTCTCGCAGTTGAATTGATAATCGTCCAGTTTCGTCTGTATCTGCTTGAGAGGTACTGCAGCTCACAGCATCATCAAGATAATTCCATAAATCACCATCATAGTTTTTGTTTGGTTTCTTGAAGAGAGATCATAGCTTCTTGTTCGTTAATACTTGCTAAAGTGGTTGTTACTTCTAATGCCACTTTTCTTTCAATTTTAACAATATCATCTTCGTCGGAAAAATAAAATGAAAGGGTATATAGAATTACTAATGTAATCAGCTAAAATTTGATCGAAGATAATTCAACTTATGAGAATCTGTTTTTTACTGATGAGTTAACTTACCAACGTTAGTTATCGCTCGAGCAGACTCTCGAGTACTTCGAAAAGCAAACTTTTTGTACCGAGGATCAACGAGTGTCGCACAAGCATATAATTTTATAGACTCAATGTTCCCATATTTTACTTCTATTTCTTGAGATAGTTTTTTTTTAATTGTCGTCCAATTAAAGTATCTGGTATCAAACATTCAATTTTCTGTAAAATATAATTTCAATTGCAAGTTAACAGGAATTCAAATCAATATGAAATTGCAATAAACTTTATAGTATAACTGTAATTTACCTTTATGAGATCAGAAATTAAAGGAATACATTTACTCAATATCACATTCTTTTCCGAACCACCTTCGCGGGTTACTTGCACAAGAGGTTTCAAAACATCACACACTTTAATTAACGCATTAATTTCTTCGTTGGTGATCACGTTAGGTGCTCTAGCTCGTGACTATTTATTCATTTTCACTTGGAAAACTACTTTACTGAGATAATCAGCTAGTACGATGAAACTATCAATCATTTGATAACATGAATTTAATCTAGTTTTTACTTCTTAGATCAATTTAAGACGAGAATTTTCAGGTAGATCCTTTTGCAACGATTTCAATTCAGTTGTAGCTCTTTCACTTTGGCGAAAAAATGTAACGATTTTTTTTTACTTTTGTTAATAGCTCACGTAATGTTGATTGCTCAACTATGTTATCTACGTTTTAATTATCAGAAGTATCAATAGCATCATCTTCATCAATCGGTAGATCAATTATTTTATTTTTAGATTCAGATGCAGGTGGGGTACTATTTATTTCAACAAGTCGCTGACCGATGTTATCATATAATCGAGTGAGCCTGCCGTAGGCGGTGAAGCTCGATTTTAACCGTTGGAGTACCTCCGATCAGAACTTTAGAGTACACACGGAGTCAGATTGACTTTTGAAGAATTACATCTCAGAAACTGAGCATTTTATCGGAATTCAGGTCATTGCATTTTTGTTATGTAAAATAATGCTCTTTCGAATACAATAATCGTTATTCTGAATTAAATAGTTCTTAACCCGTTGAGGACACACGGGGTCCAGTGGACCTCAGGTGAACTTTGAGACAGTTTTAAATTTAGAAGGAGATTTATAAATGAGACTTAGTGTGCCATCTGTTGTCAGGGTTTCCAGATTGGGCGTTTTTCCGCAATTTGGGGGAATTTCAGTCATGTCTTGCGCTAAAATTGCTTTTGGGCGATTTTCCACAATTTGGGCTATTTTGCCACTAATCTAAATAACTACTAACCATTTAAGAATTAAAAAAAATTTTTTTTTAATTTCTTACTTTTTTCGTGGCCTTTTTTACGTATTCTCAATTCACTATATTTTCACGCCTTTTGCATCCTATATGTATTATATTGTAACCTTTGTAGATAAAGAAACCTTCGTATTGACCAACCGAGATTGGAAATTTTATATGTTTATATATCTTTATAGATAAATTTGATATTTTGATATTGATGTTTTGATATTTTTTCGGACTTATTAACATTGTGACTCAAATTTTAATTATCAATTTAAATATTGGTTATTATTTTCATAAAATTTTATAATTAACAGCAAACAACAACTATTCAAGTAAATACGGTTATTGAAACATTTGTTGATTTTTCATGTGACGAATGTGGACGTAAGTGAACATAAAAATTTGTAATTATTATTTAAACCAATTAGCACATTTTATATTTAGAATTATCTTATTCATAATAATATTTTTACCCTAGATGGTGTAATTTTCATCAAGTAAAGGCGGAATTCCGCTGACTAAGAAAACTTGCCTCATGTGCAAGTTTGAATTTAACATTATCATCATCATCTATAGAAGAATAGAAAGAAGTACAAATCTAGTGAGGTTATTAGATAATGAATTTTGTAAAAATGAATTTAGCAGACATCTGACAGATTTTATGATTGTTCTTATTGAAAAAATTATTTTTTAAAAATCCTTAAAAAAATTTTACTAGTAGAAAATTTAAAAAACTTAAAGTGCAATTTTTGAAAATATTTTCTTAGTTCTAATTTAATTAAAGAAAAAAATCAAAAAATTGTTAATTGTCTGCTGATTTCAGTATCTTATGAATTTTTATGAAGAAAATATAAAATTCTAATACATTTTTTTTGTTTATAGTTAAGAGCAAACGCATGTGCTGGATAGATTTACGAATTATATTAAACATTACTTTAAAAATGACAAACTGGGCAAAATATGAAAAGAAATTCAATGACAGTTGGCTGAAGGATCCACTGTTCATTAAGTGGCTATGTAAAGCCGATAATCCAAATAAAGCTTATTGCAAACTGTGCAAAAGTGAACTAAGAGCTCATAGAGCTGATTTAGTTAGACATCGAGATTCTGCGAACCACATAACAAACGCAACTGCAACGGCTGCTCATCCTACGATAGAGTTTTTCCAAAAGTAACTTCTACAAATCAAAAAAATTTAATAACAAAAACTGAGTTGAAATTAGCTGTTCATACAGCTTGTCATTCATCAATTAGTGTGATAGATCATCTTGCTAAAATAATTGAAAAACAATTTTAAACATTTGATATTAACAAAAAGCCCGATCAATCTTTACATATCCACAGAACAAAATGTACTGCTTTACTAACAAGAGTGATTGAGCCATCTCTATTTCAGCAACAAATTAAAGACATCGGCGATGGGCAATTTTCTTTAATATTAGATGAGTCAACAGATGTTTCTTGTCAAAAACATTTATGCATTTGTATCAGGTATTTTAATATACGAAAAAAACGCATCGTATCGCAGTATTTGGAATTAATTCCTGTAGTTGAAACATCTGCAAATGATTTATATGAAGTTTTAAATAAATATTTCATAAAAATAAATTTGAATCTCTCAAATTGTTTTGCAATCGCAACTGATGGCGGATCAAATTTATGTGGTGTTAGACATTCGTTATTCACATTAATGAAAGAGAAGAACGAAAAATTAATACTGTTCAAGTGCATTTGTCATTCAATCCATCTGGTATGTTCTCATGCTTCAGAAGAACTTCCTTCAAATATCGATTACATGCTACGTGAAACATTTAATTGGTTCAAAAGATCGGCATTACAAAGAAAGAAATATTTAGACATTTATAATACAATAAACGACGGAGGTGACCCCTTACAGCTGGTGCAACTTTCTGGAACGAGGTGGTTAGCTAGAGGTCAAGCTGTAGCTCGAATTTAAGATCAATGGGACAGTTTGAAATTGCATTTTGATGTTGCAGCCTCTGAAAAACATCAAGATCGTTATACAGCTAAAGAATTACAAAAAATGTACAATGATCCAGCAAACTTACTGTATTTCACTTTTTTGTCACCGATTTTGTCCGAGTTCAATTCTATAAATTTATTATTCCAAAAAGAGCATGCTGATCATTTCGCCATTTTACAAGAATTAGAACAATTTACATTGGCACTATTAAGAAGAATTTTGTTTCCAACATCCATCTCTTTGTCCGTTGATTTGAGTTTCCAATCAATCTATTTACCATTAAATCGAGTAGATTTTGGATATAAATTTACGAAACTTATTGATGATCTGTTGAGTAAAACTAATATTTTGCAAAGCACTATCAACTCTGTGAAAATTCGTTGTCAGTCTTTTTTTATCAAAGCTTGTAAGGAACTCCTCGTGCGTACCTCTGACAACGCAAAAACTTCGAAAAAAATTCAATATTTTTCTCAAAAAATTTGCTTAAAAACAGACCGCCCAAGTTTTGCTGAGTTACCACTAGATTTACTGGAACAAAATGTAGATCTGAATACAGTCGAAATGCAGTCGAGAAAACTAATTGATTTTGACTTCAAGAATATATTTGACGAATCTATTTTTTCCCAAGGCTCACTTTTTTGGTCTAAAGTCATCGAGATTAAAGATGCTGAAGATAATTTGATGTTTAAAGAACTAGCTACTCTAGCATTAACGGCATAGAGTTTACCTATAAGTAATGCAACTGTTGAACAGGTTTTTTCTAGAGTAACCGTGACGAAAGATAAACTGAGAAATCGTATGAATTTACCACTTTTATCATCGATAATAAGAATTGAAATGAGCTTAGAAGAAGATAAAATTTGCTGTACTCAATTTGAACCAAGTAATGAGATGCTTAACTTTAATTCGAGCATATATGAGAAGATAACCCCTGAAGAAGAAAAAGAGCAAAAAGAACTACTGCAACACATGTTGGATTAATTATAATACATAATATATTGATTTTACGTATTTACATGATCTCACTATATTAAAGTTTTAAAATTATATGAAAATATTATTTATTACATAGTAGTAATATATATAAATATAATGATAGGTAGGAAAAATGGCTGCATAAGTGACAGACGTGAGATTTTGTGCTTGTACTCTTTGATATAATTTACTCGCGGAATACACCTACTAGGTGCCTACAGTGATTGTTCTTGTGCTAAAAAATTTGCGCTAACTTTTAAGATATTCGGTGGTGCTGGCACTCGCTGTTGAAGAGATAAATCTCCGGATTTCACACACAAATTGACAAGATGAGGTTGGTTTTCTCAATCATGACGTCTCCCTCTAATAACAGTACTTCTCACTCGCTCGTGGTTGACCAAGAGCTACTTCAAAATCCCAACAGAGAGCAGCAGATCACCACTCCTCTATCTCACGCTGATAACAGCCGCTCTACCGATAAAACTACAGGAAACAAAGGACGCAAACCTCTGGTGCTAACTTGGAACACACTCAATCTGGACGTCCTGGGTAACCCGATTGAACTACTAAACAAAAACAATAAAAAGAGATCTTGAGAAGCAGAAGAAGAGAATCCAGTAAAAAGAAAACTTGCGCTGGGCCCTGCCACCATCACATGCCTCCAAGAGGGCATAATTGAAGCTCTATCTGTGAAGGTTCAACAAATGATCGAATCTAAACTGTCTTTTATCCATGGACTCCAAACAGAAGTGGAAGAAATCAAAAAATCCAATGCAGAATCCATTGCTAAGTTATCAGACAACATCATGGAGAATGATGAGCAGTACAACCGCAAATTTGCGGAACTTACTGAGCGGATAACTAAGCTGGAAGCTGATCGGCTGAAAACTACGCATCTGCCTTCAACTACAGCCCAGAAATCCTCAGAGAACACCACGACTGACTCACTGGATGCTGCTGTTAAAGCCCACATGGAAAAACTTAACAAAAGACTGGACTCTTTCGACAAGCACTACCGACAGATGAACATTAGAGTGTATCAGAAAAATCGAATATTTTTTTTTTTTAACGAACATGGAGAAATCGTCAGAGTATCTCTTAAAAAAGATTCTCTGAAAATATGAGCTCTTAATATTAATATTTAGAGGTGGCGTCATGTAATTTCTATTTCCCATTTAAATAACACAGAAAAATGTTCTTTTAAAGTTTGGAATTTTGTAACGTGACAACAAGCTACTTTGTAGGTAAAACTAAATCTTCTTCTTATAGGAAATTGAATGCTCTACAAAAAAGGTCTAAATGAAATTTTGCGTAAGTCAAGCCGTTTCAAAGATATCGAGCCTCAAACTTCAGACTGTTACAAATTACGGTTTGTTCTTTTCTTAAACACAAGAAAATCAATTTATATGTATTAAAAACCCATTATCATTAACTTTTGAATAATAGGGGACACTTGGGGCTATTGAAAAAAAAATATTTTGGAAAAAAATTTTGAAAATTGCCAAATTTGTCAAATTTTGAATTTTTGAATATCGTCGAAAATGACAATCGACATCAAAATTTTGGCTCAATTTTTTTTGTATAATACATTGTACTAATCTTAAACGATCCTGAAATTTTTATAACTGTTTTTTTTCAAAAATGTGAATTTTTGAATTCAAATTAAAATTTTTTTTTATTTTTTGCAGTTTCTAAATGAGGTTCAGTTCTACGAATACATAGTATTGTAATTTTGAGCATTAAAAAATTAAATACACGACCTAGAATAATTAAATAATAAATTTGTTTCAACTTCTTTTTATTTTTTTGGGCATAATCATAAAGTCAGGCTTAACACATGATATAGTTTCTTATTTTTTCAACGCATGATATATTTTGTCCGTTTCTTCACTACAATTACAGTTTTCATTGCCAAATACGTCAAACAGATCTTAATTTTCAATAAAAATCAGAAATAATGTGATGAAAATATGAACTTTTCTTCGTTTATTTGAATGTATGTTTATTTACAAATTTTTGCACATTAATTTTCTCAATCTCAAATTTCAAATTAATTCCATGTTCATAAAACGATAAGTGGAATTAACAACTTTAAATGAAGTAAAAAAAGGACAAAAAATGAATTATATCATGTGTTAAGCCTGACTTTTAGATTATATCCAAAAAATAAAAAGAAGTTGATACTAATTTTTTATTTAATAATTTTAGGTCGTGTTTTTAATATTTTAATGCTCAAAACTACAATACTGTGTATTCGCATAACTAAACCTCATTTAGAAATTGCAAAAAATAAAAAAAACTTTAATTTAAATTAAAAAATTTACATTTTTGAAAAAAAACAGTTCTAAAAATTTCATGATCGTTTAAGATTAGTACAATCCATTATACAAAAAAAATTGAGCCAAAATTTTGATGTCGATTGTCATTTTTGACGATATTCAAAAATTCAAAATTTGACCAAATTTAGCATTTTTTTAATTTTTTTGCAAAATATTTTTTTTTTTTTTTCAATAGCACCAAGTGTCCCCTATCAAACAAACGAAAGTATATTCCTGTATCTATAATAGCGCTCGAGATATTACAAAATCAAAATTAAAAAACTAAAAAAATCGCGAAATTTTGAATTTGCATATCTTTTAAAAAAAAATTTTTTTTTTCCTTTCGCAGAACTTCGTTATATGATAAAAGAAAACTTCTGACCAAAATTTGTTCAAACCGAAAGGGTTTGTTTTCAGCTATTGTTTGATTTGACATGGAATGACCCATATAAGTAAATATTTTTCGTTAATAACTAATAAAAATTAGCATTTCTCAAATTATTAAGAATTTTGGATATGCATTCTATTAAATATATGCATATTATTATTAAAAAGTTAATAATAATGGGTTTTTAATACATATAAATTGATTTTCTTGTGTTTAAGAAAAAAACAAACCGTAAAACAAACCGTAAAACAAACCGAAAAAAACAAACAATTGCCCATAAGAAAAAGGTTTAGTTTTACCTATAAAGTAGCTCGTTGTCACGTTACAAAATTCCAAACTTTAAAAGAATATTTTTCTATGTTATTTAAATGGGAAATAGAAATTACTTGACGCTACCTCTATATATTAATATTAAGAGCTCATATTTTCAGAGTATCTTTCTTTAGAGATACTCTGACGATTTCTCAGTGTTCGTTAAAAAAAAAAAAATATTCGATTTTTTTGATACACTCTAATGAACATCATTATTAAGGGCCTCGATACCGGTGACACTCCAAGCCAAAATCTCACTGGCATAGTAGAGAAATTTTTGGAAGAAAACTTTGGTGTATCCAAGAGTGTCGAATACGCTAGGTTTATGGGCAATTACAACAAACCCAGCACCATTATCAAAGTCAGAATTACCTCAATGTGCGCTAAGACTGAGATAATGAAGAAGAAAAAGACACTGAGTGCACGTAAGATCTATATCGAACACGATCGAACTCCTAAAGAACGAGAAGCGGATTACCGCGTGAGGCAGGAAGCTAGACAACGCCGCAATGATCACTCCGATAGCACCCCGACCACAAGGACCTCTCTGCAGACCAAGGCTCACTCACACTCACCGACAAAGGCCAAATCAAGGACTCTGACAGAAATTCCTGCTCTCCAGGATGCCAATCTACAACTCCCCTTAAATACTCGGGCATAAGCCCACCGCCTCCCAAAAAAACGGAAACTGAGGATAGTATACTGGAACTGTCATGGGCTAGGTAACGTAAACAGCTACACTACTCTAAGTAAGTCAGATATATTTTGTTTAAGCGAAACCTGGTCTACCGATAAAACTATTACAAGAATATAATAACTTCAATACAATTTGTTCACAGGCTACCAGGATGCACGACGTGGGAAGGGCGAGTGGAGGACTGTTAATTGGTATAAACAAGGCTTACAAATACGAACTCCTAGAACTTTCTGCTTGGTGGATTTTTGTCAGAGTTTTTCTGGACGACTGGAGCTTTGTCCAGGGTAACTTCTATTTTAGCCCCTCCCATCCCCTCCAGCATCTCTTAAATATCCTGCAATTGACTATAAACGATATACGAGCTGCACACCGACACGAGATGCTCGTGATAGGTGGCGACTACAATGCTTGTAGGGAACCAGGGCAATGCCCTGGGTAGGCAACCAGGGCACAGTTCACGAAGAAGCCTTATTAGGCTCCTCGTTACATTCATTACGCTCCTCGCTAGATACTTTTATCTCACCTAGAGGTTCACAGCTCATGGATTTTTGTGACATAAATGGGCTTATTCTGCTCAATGGAAGAGCCCCTAGTGACTCTTCTGCCCAATATACCTACTGTTCCTCTACGGGTAAGTCAGTTATTGACCTGGTATGGGTCAACCTGGCGGACGCTAATATCATAGATGACCTACAAACCTTACCTGATATTTCTTTATCAGATCACTTTCCAGTTGCTGTCACATTAAATATACCCTTAACAACTCCATGCCCTATTCAAACCGCTGAATCCTTACCCCCACCTGAGAAGCTGAGATGGAATCCACAAGCACAAGAAACTTACAAGCACAACTTGTTTTTGTCTCAACACTTAAAGGTCTCCTTCGAATCCTCCACGACCGATATCCTTCACACCAACCTTATCGCAGCAATCACAAATGCCGCTAAGGAAGCTGGAATGTTAACGCAAAAACCGCAAAACCCCAAACAGTTGACCTCTCACAAGCCCTGGTTTGACAAAGACTGCCGGGACGCCAAGAAAAAATTGACTCAAACATTGAAAAGAGCCAGAGCCGTGAATTTCAAATCACCTGAAATAACAGAATGCTTAAAGTCTAAAAAAAGTTACAAAGAAACAGTTGCTGCCAGGATCAAGTCCTACAGGTTCGCGGTTGTTCAGAGATTCTCTAACATAAATAATACCACACAATTCTGGCGCACTTACAAGAGCTTCAAGAAGAACTTCCATTCGCCCTCTCTGCCTCTTGCTACCTGGGAAGAATTTTATAAAAATGTATATCCGCCAAGAATAACAGACAATAGCTTCTATTTCGGGGTCGCTGACTCCGCTTTAGACGCACCAATCACGTTCGATGAAGTACGAGATGCAATATTAGCTATTAAGAGCGGCAAGGCACCAGGTCCAGACACAATCACAGGGGAATTTTTAAAAAACTTGCCCTCTAATAGGCTACTCTACATTCAATCGTTGTTTAATAAAATACTAGACACTGAGCATGTCCCAAGTGACTGGGCACTCGTTGCCATGTTTATGTTATACAAAAAGGGCGATCAGACTGACCCCAGCAATTACCGCGGATTAGCTATGATAAATGTACTAACAAAAGTATTCACAACAATTTTGAAAAACAGGCTAATTGAATGGATTGATCTGACCGGTGTCTTGCCTGAGGAGCAGGCGGGTTTCACAGCAAAAAAAAGCTGCATAGACAATATTTTTTCACTTTTATCCGCCCTTCAAATAGGGTTTAGACATAAAAAGAGTCGTATATACGGCTTCTTTGTAGATTTTGGAAGAGCCTTTGACTCCGTGCCTCATAACGCCCTCTGGAGAAAGCTCTTTGTTCTGGGGGTCAGCCCAAAGCTGATAAGAATTTTGAAAAGCTTATATGATCAAGTAATGCTACAAGTCAGAGCAGAGGGGCGCCTCTCGGGGACGTTTGAGGTCACGGAGGGAGTTCTCCAGGGAGAAGTACTTAGCCCCATCCTATTTATTCTCTATCTGCATGACATTGTTGAATTTTTTAGATCCAGAGGGGCTCAAGGCATTCAATTAAATAATGTATTTGATTTAATCATGCTCTTATACGCTGACGATCTTGTCATACTCGCTAGAACTTTCTCTGAGCTTAAAAAATCTCTCAAATTACTTGACGAATACTGCCTGTGTAAACATCTTACTGTAAACATAGATAAAACTAAAATCATACATTTCAGGAAAGGTGGCCCCAGGGAAAGAAAGAGTCTCTACTACAATGAAAAAATTATCGATTGGGTAGACGAGTACGTTCACCTCGGAGTACCTTTTACTAGCTCCACACTAGGGCTATCGGCAGTCAAAACTGCTTCCCAAAAAGCTCACTCTGCTGCTGGGGCAGCTATTTCGATGCTCGCCAGTATTAAAGCTGAATCATGGCACGGCACAATAAAAATATACGACGCCATTGTGGCTAGTACGCTCCTGTATGCTTCACATATATGGGGTTTACGATATCTCGACTCGCTGGAAAAGTCACAACTAAATTTCTACAAGAGACTCCTCCTTCTCCCAACTGGCACCCCTAGTTCCGTACTAAAGCTTGAACTTAACCTATCCTATGTAAAGACCAGGGTGCTGGGGCTGGCACTTGGATCGATTACCAGGATTCTCGAAATGGAAGAACACCGCATTCCCAAAATCTGTTTCAGCAGGCTGTTACAACTAGCAAATAATAACTTACCCACCGATGTTAAGTATAATTGGATTGCACAAATAAAACCCCTGCTGGAATTTGGTAACGCTCCCCCGACTATCTGGCACAGTACTTCCAGCTCATACTGGAAAAGACTGATTCCGAGGATCCTGGATTCATTCACTGCTAGTCTCAGACGCCTTGAATTAGCCGCTATCTCCGAAAAACAGTCATGTCAGGTGGAGATTCCTAGGCATCTAAACTCGCCTGTGGCATCTTATTTGCGAAACAATCCTTTACATATTGCCAGAGTATTTGCACAGGCAAGGCTCGCTAATCGACACTTCTTTAGTTTTAGTTTCAAGCGTATGTACTATGGCATCTACCCTCAACTTTCATGCACAATCTGTAACCTTCAAGAAAATGAGAACCTTGCTCACATCTTCTTCAGATGCCCAATCTATAAGCCCTACAGAGATTTTTTCATTGCACCATTACTGACTACACAGTCAGATGACGATAATACCCTGCTCCTCAGCCTGCTCAATGACCTTAGACCCATGACAGTAAAAGCTGTTTATTTATACCTAGCTCGCTCGATGAAGCTTAGAGATTTTTGCTTGAATAACTAATGTAAATAGACATATCATTGTAAATAATGTACATTACTGTTAATACTAATACTATCCTCAGTCAAACTCTAATAAGCCAAAGTATTTTACTAATAATAATTATAATTATGTACTATTTTATATATTGTATTGTTTCACTTTTGTAACTCGATAATTAAGTTTCTATGAACACTGACGAACTGATTTGTAATGAATTTATGTAACCCTGCTGTAAGCATTGCTATATAAGCAGTTATCTAAATAAATAAATAAAATATATAAATATAATAGAAAAAATAATTTATAATATTCACGCATGTTATTTATCAATATATATTTCAAAAATAAATTATTTAAAAATAAAAAATGTATATTTATTTGAAATCATGAATATTGGGCGGTTTTTTCTGTTGGTGAGAGCTTTTTCCATGAGATAGCTCTACTTTCTAACGAGCTATTCTGGCAACCCTGGCAGCAACATTGTTACATCTGAACCTGTCAACTGTAACAAATGTCTGGCTCAGTACCACGGTGGTACTACCACCCGGGATGTGCAAAAGCCCAAAATGTATTACAGTCAGGTGGATTTCAAAAGTGTTGTGGTCCCAAGAAAGCTCTCTCACTGGATGACATAAGGGAAATGCTCTGTGTGGAAAACGGTACACTGAGAAAAGAAATTTATGAAGATTCATTAAAGGTTTTTGACCCGATTAAAGCGAGCGTTGATACACTTCGTGTCGACCTTGAAGAACTGTCAGCGAAGCTTGGCCACAGGATGACAGCTATTGAGTCGGACAATGTGACAATAAGTAATCGTCTCAACACGGCCTATGCCGACATAACCAAAAACACTGTCTTTATTGACTCTTTAGCTGGCAAATTGGAAACTACTCACGGTGGAACAGAGGCTTCGATCCTCATGGAAGTCGAAGATCGAATTAGCAGGCGTAACAACGTCGTTGTATTTGGTCTTCAGGAATCTAAAGATCCTAGTCATGATCAGATCTTCCAAGGCCACTCAAAATCATATTTAGTCTGCCTAGTCACCCTGATACATTTGTACAGAAAATCACCGAAGCGAAGCGCCAAGGGCAACTACCTCAAGTCTTTGGGCAAATATCAGTTGCGAAAGACCGTACTCTCCGTCAGTGCCAAGAACAAAAAGCTGTGGTCACAGAGCTGCATCGTCGGAGGGAATTAGGAGAAACAAACCTGCGGATAATGACGAAGAATGGGCAGCCGACCACAAAATAACTATATTAAATTCTTCTATTAAACACTTCTCAGTGTATTACCAAAATGTTCATGGCCTTAAGTCAAAACTTGGAACATTATTTAGTAACACAATGTCTGTCGAGTATAATGTTTATGTTTTAACTGAAACTTGGCTTAATTCAAATATTTTTTCTTCAGGAGGTCTGGTGGTGGAGTTCTTATAGCCGGTGAGGCGGTTTTATTTCCTAGTTTAATAAATTTTAATTAAATCACTGAAGATTTTTCGCAAGTTGATATTGTAGGGGTATCCTTTGGATCTTACCCTCTTACAACTACATTAGCTCTATATAAACCGCCTGACATGCACCAGCAACTCTACTCGGACTTCCTTGAGGCTCTGTCATCTCATCCGTTCATGGATGCTGAAGCATTGGTTATTATGGGTGACTTTAACGCTCCTCACTTCTATACACATGCCAGCCTCGATATGTGCACTGCTAAGTCTGAACTTTTACTTACATATTCAGTCTTTCACAACTTGAAGTAGCTCAATACTGTACTAAATTGTAGTGGACGTCTTTTGGACTTGACCTTTGCATCAGTTGACTGCTCTGTCGAACACAATGGTGATCCCATCTCGAAAATTGATCCTTACCACCCAGCACTCACTATTTCTCTGCAGTATATGACTGATCGATCCAAATATACACCTAAGTTACCTGTCAGTAAATACAATTTTCATCGTTTTGAAAAGTCTCCGCTAATGTGGGAACTAGACCGTATTGACTGGTCTACACTCGATAGGCATGACTCGGTTGACACAATGTGTGACTTATTCTACTCTCTTCTCAATGAGGCCCTTGATAAAGTCATTCCAAAATGTAAACCCAAGTCATATCACTCGACCAAATACCCACCCTGGTTCACCTGTGACATAATTAAAGACTGTAACATGAAAGAAAAGCTTAGAATTAATTACCGCAAAAAACCATGTGAATACCTCCGCCCTGATAAAAAAAAAGTATTGAGACAAAGAAAAAAATATTGAAAAGTATTGGTTTTCTAGTCAATCCAATACTTTTTCCTTTGTCCCAATACTTTTTTTTATTCAGGGCGTATTCAGTACCATGACTTAACATCATCACTGAAAACTAGAATAAAAGATGCCTACTCTATTTATCAACGTAATGCTGAAGCAAACCTAGTTGAAAACCCCAAAAGTTTCTGGAACTATATTAAGTACAAGAAAAACAATAATCAGTTCTCAGCTAACTTTTACGTAAACAATCAAATAGTCTCAAATTCTGATAAAATTGCTTCAGCATTCGCCAGCTATTTTTGTAGTGTCTTCTCACCATCAGATGGTCCTGTGAACCAGAATACTAGCAGACAATCTTTCCAGTTGGACGGTAAGCTTTTGTAAAACTTATTGTTGATGCCATCTGGGCCAGGCTCTTTGTTACTTTTAAGGTTGTTTAGACATTTTGAAAGCTCTGAATGCGTTATTTCAGAGTCAAGTTTATCTTCACTTAGGTGGAGGGGGGTATTACAAATTGGTTGCTTCGTGGGCAAGGTCTTTGCGTAGAAATCATTCCAAGTATCGACGGACGGCCCTTCTCAGGAGGATTTTTTGAATCTGCAGCATCTGACATCGTTCCAGAATTGAGTAGCGTTCTTGACTTGCGCGAAGTTATCTTGAATAGACTTGGCAAACTGGCTTTTTTCCATGAAAGGAACTTGTGGTAGTTATTTTTCTGTTCGATGTACATCAGCCTATCAGTAGAGTCGAAGGTAGACTTGAAACAATTTTTCAATAAGTTGGAGACCAGTTTTTTGGCGTCGCGGCAGTCCCTGTCGAACCATGGTTTATGGTCTATTGTTGTTGTGCTGATTCTGGGACTGGTCTTCATTTTGCATATTCTGCGGCTTCCTTGATGCTCTCGATTAGAATTAGAGCTTTGCGGTCTAAATTTTGTTCAGACCAGTAATTCACATTGTCCAAGGCAGCCAGGTAGAGAATATATGAGTCCTTTGTATTTAAATTCCACTTAAATTTGTCTCTGTTCACCTTGGTATTAACTA